CTAGTGATAGGCTTGCTTGTTTTAAGGGCACGCCTCGCGCAAGGCGCGGCGATTAAACAAGGCGGAAGCTCGGTTCGGGTTACCTCGTGTCGGAGACAGTCAGCAGGCACCGAACGGCAACCGATGGATGTATATTTCCGACCCTCGTGAGGAGTGGCGGCGACAAGCTCATATGGCTGCCGCCGCGCAATATCGTTCAACTTGTCGATGTATCTGGTATTCTTGCGATTCACATACCGACCGCGTTTTGCGGTCTTCATCGACCCACGGCGAGTGATCCCCGTTAAGAGTTGTGTATTTGCCATTTGGTCTTTTTACTAACCATCACAGGTCGAGTCTCAATGAAAGGGTTTGACAGACATAGCCCAAGTTTGTGGTTTGGGTTTGGCCGGACGGCTTTGTTGTTTTTGACACTTGAATTTCACTCTTTTGGGTCAAGAGGCTTATTCGCCGGTAGTAAGGAACGGACGGCAGCCGTCCAAAGCCCGTCCGTCCTCCTCCTCCGGTCTTCGCGCTCTGCCAGTGTGGTCCACCTACAGCGTGGTGGTACCTATTTTGTGCGGGGCCGGATTGTCCTCTTTCGCTGCTGGAGTTGCCAGAGCAGAGCCGAGACCGCCCAAATCAGGAGAGTAGTAGTAGTTTTAAGAGCGCCCGTTCTCTTTCTCTCTGTTAATGATCCTTCCGCAGGTTCACCTCGGAAACCTTGTTACGACTTTTACTTCCTCTAAATGATCAAGTTTGGACATCTTTCCGTCAGCTCGAGAGGCGACGAAAACCCTCGCGGGCAACGGGACAATCCAAGAGCCAGTCCGAAGCCTCACTAAATCATTCAATCGGTAGTAGCGACGGTGTGTACAAAGGGCAGGGACGTAGTCAGCGCAAGCTGATGACTTGCACTTACTGGGAATTCCTCGTTCATGGAAACAATTGCAAGCCCCAATCCCTATCAAGAAAGGCTTTGAACGGGTTACCCGCTCCTCTCGGAGGGAAAACTCGTTGATCCCTTCAGTGTAGCGCGGCCCAGAACATCTAAGGCATCACAGACCTGTTATCAATCTCGTGCGGCTAGAATTGCCGCTTATCCTCTAAGAAGAAGTTGCGAACTGGACACCATTTTCTGGAGATCCGTCGACTACTTAGTAGGCCAGAGTCTCGTTCGTTATCGGAATTAACCAGACAAATCGCTCCACCAACTAAGAACGGCCATGCACCACCACCCACCGAATCGAGCTCTCAATCTGTCAATCCTTCCGGTGTCTGGGCCTGGTGAGGTTTCCCGTGTTGAGTCAAATTGCCGCAGGCTCCACTCCTGGTGCCCTTCCGTCAATTCCTTTAAGTTTCAGCTTTGCAACCATATTCCCCGGAACCCAAAGACTTTGGTTTCCGGAAGCTGCCCGCCGGGTCATGGGAATAACGCCGGCGGATCGCTAGTTGGCATCGTTTATGGTTAGAACTAGGGCGGTATCTGATCGCCTTCGAACCTCTAACTTTCGTTCTTGATTAATGAAAACATCCTTGGCAAATGCTTTCGCAGTAGTTCGTCTTGCGACGGTCCAAGAATTTCACCTCTAGCGTCAATACGAATGCCCCGCCTGTTCCGATTAGTCATTACCTCTGGTTCCGAAAACCAACAAAATAGAACCGAGGTCCTATTCCATTATTCCATGCATCACCATTCGGGCCATTCAAATAGCCTGCTCTGAGCACTCTAATTTTTCAAAGTAAACTCTCCGCCACTCGACACTCGACAAAGAGCATCCGTGCGGGCGGCGGCGTTCGGAGCGTGACAGTAAACACCGGGCGGTGCACCGTCAGTCCGGAACTGAGATCCAACTACAGCTTTTTAACCTTTAATATACGCTATTGGAGCTGGAATTACCGCGGCTGCTGGCACCAGACTTGCCCTCCAATGGATACTCGTTAAAGGATTTAAAGTGTACTCATTCCGATTGCGAGGCCTCGGATGAGACTCACATCGTTATTTTCGTCACTACCTCCCGCCGGAGTGGGTAATTTGCGTGCCTGCTGCCTTCCTTAGATGTGGTAGCCGTTTCTCAGGCTCCTCTCCGAATCGAACCCTGATTCCCCGTTACCGTTATAGCCATTGTAGGCGCATAACCTACAATCGAAAGCTGATAAGGCAGACACTTGAAAAAGCGGCGCCGGTGCGGAGACCGTGCGCTCAGCCCGAAGTTATTCAGATTCACCACAGGTGGGTTACGGACCGGGCCCGACCAGTTTTGAACTAATAAAAGCGCTCTTCCTTGCGGTCAGAGACCAATTGCATGTATTAGCTCTAGAATTGCCACAGTTATCCAAGTAAGTGGGTTTACAGATCCAATGAAACATAGCTGATTTAATGAGCCATTCGCGGTTTCGCCTTAAATCGGCTTGTACTTACACATGCATGGCTTAATCTTTGAGACAAGCATATGACTACTGGCAGGATCAACCAGGTAGCTGCTGCTGTTGGCGGCGCCTATCACGGCCAAAATAGTGAGATTGAGAGAGAGGCAGAAGACATTGGGCGAGGGACCACGTTGGCCTTAGAGAAATAGCAAACCAGATGATCAGATCTAACTGCACCTTCTCTTGCTATCCTCGGCGCCGGCACCAATCTCCTCCTTATCCGCTCCTCTTTTAGCTCCAGCGAGGCAGCCGACATTGGGCGAGGGACCGCACGTTGGCGAATCTCCTCCTTATCCGCTCCTCTTCTCTTTGCCGAGGCAGAAGACATTGGGCGAGGACCGCACGTTGGCCTTAGAAATAGCAAACCAGATGATCAGATCAAACTGCACCTTCTCTCGCTATCCTCGCAGCGCCACCGTCCAATCTCCTCCCTTATCCTCTCCTCTTCTCTTTGCCCCAGCGGGCAGACATTGGGCGAGGGACCGCACGTTGGCCTTAGAGAAATAGCAAACCAGATGATCAGATCAAACTGCACCTTCTCTGCTATCCTCGGCGCAGCCCCGTGTGTGCCAATCTCCTCCCTTATCCCCTCTCCTCTCTCTTTACCCAGCTCCAGCGAGGCAGCCGACATTGGGCGAGGGACACGTTGGCCAATCTCCTCCTTATCCGCTCTCTTCTCTTCTCTTTGCGAGGCATAAGACATTGGCCCATCTCCTCTCTCTCTTTCTCTTACTGTTTGTGGGGACGGGCTCATGAGCCCATCGTCGCCCAATATTGGTTAGGTTGTGTATTTCACGGGTGGGAACCGCCATCATCGTTGTTAGGTGATGGGGTAACCCAACGTGTTTTGACGAGTTTTGGCTGCTAAACTCTCTTTTTAGTATACTCGGCTCCCAGACTGCGCCCTGGTCGTGTGAACCATGAGCGTTGTCTATGCACATTTAGGGTAGCCGTTTGCGCGTGAATAGTGCAATGAATCTCGGTCAAGAGACGGTTGGGCGCTGCATTGAAGGCCGCACAGACGCGAAGCGGGGTGATCAGCCAACGCAAGTCCGCTAAGTTGGGCAGAAGCAAGGCGAAGGGGCCCGTTCCGACTGAAAGGCCGCAGCATATGCTGTGACGGAAACTAGTAGGGTGGCGACGTGTGCGCCGAGAGAGAGAGAGAGAGAGAAAATAATCCAAACGGAAGAGAGACCTGGCAAGTGTAATTGATAGAGCGCGAGCCTACTCGCCATAAGCCCGCTCCACTGCCATTCCTCTGATCCAATGAGACTAAAATCTCTCTCTCTTCTGCTCCAGCCATTGCAGGGCAGGGAAGCGACGGCAATTTTGGTTGTTGTTTTTGAATGCCGCGCTTTGCAGAGGCGCCGGCGCTCCGCTGGGGCGGAAGATATTTCACACCGAATATGTGTGTGAAGGCACCCTCCCCTTAATATAGTGAAATAGTGCAATCCAGCATACAAGGTCGGACGATAGGACATTCACCGTACCGCACCTCGAGAGTGGATGTTGGGTAAGGTTAAAACCGGACTGTTCGCAGACAGCCGAATAACCCGGTTCCGACTAATTGGTGGATGCAACATCATGATGATGCTGCTGCTGTCGCGGAAACCGCAGTGGCGACGTGAGAGTAATAATGTTCAATAGGGAGAGCGACCTGGCTAGTGTAATTGATAGATCGCGAGCCTACTCGC